TTTTTTCCTAATAGTACGAAAGTATAGCTCACCTCAGCAGGTTGGTCTAGTTGAATATTTCAATTACGAGAATTTTCCGCATCATATCCAGCCAAACTCTTTATATAACTATAGTCTGGATTGTCAGAAAACACTTTATGAGTGTATTGGCATTCTACTTCTTCACTATTCATTAGAATACTCGGAGAAATTATATCAAATTCAGCCGATCGTTTTCCAATATCATTAAGTATTTCTCGATTGGCCTTAGCCTGCTCCTGCTGTTGCATCTGTCGCCTACGGGCCAATTCCAAAATGAAGCGCTGCCTCAAAACATCCATAGGATTAGTGATCGAGAGGGAGCTAATTTTCTTTCTTCGTACATTGCTGGAATCCGTATTGTCGATGTTCGGGTATCTCGTCTGCAGAAGGAATAATTAAATCGGCTCATTGACTCTTCAAAAATAACAATGTGACAAAAGTGAAATAATTCAGCAAAAATTATTAAAAATTTAGGTAAAGTTTAGTTTAGTAAAAACAAAGCAGTATTGGCGACAACTAGATGGAGCGTTGAGTCAACTGCGATTCGGTAACTATTATCAAATCGCCGGTTGCCTCAAATGGTCTTCGGTTAGCGTCAACTAGAAATTATAGTTCACACAACTGCGTATTTCCAATTATTAAACTGAAGTTATTTTAATTCGGTGAAATGCGTATTTAATTCAGTGGAAACGTGAAATTGAATTAAATACTGGATAAATCGGCTGGCAGTTAAATAAAATACTATTGTGGTATTTGGTAACGAATGCCCGATTCCGATGGATGAATGATAAAAAAATGTTCAACCGAATCCGTCACGTAAATATAACCTAATCCTTCTATCAATGTGCAGTTAAATGATAGCTGTCGTGAATTTCCGATTAGATCGTTTCAAAGAAAAATTACTAACGGGTGCTTCACTTCAACTTATATGGATTTTAATCAATGAATTGCATTAAAAAGAAGATTTTTACGCCCGAAGGTTTTTACGCGTTTTACTTTCGTATAGAAAATCACGTGATGAATTACCAGTTTTGTACTCGTATACAAAGTAAACGTGCGGTTAAATAAGTGAGTAATGTGAGTACTGATTTGGATCCGGTCCTCTACCTATCCTGAAGATATCATCATTCAATAATTTCAAAGCGGGTCAAAATCCCGAATACATTATTGCTTCAAGTCATGCCAACAAGTGGTCTAAGACTGAAGCAATGGAACATTTATAAAAGTTTGAAGAACACTTTTGGCTTTTGAAACGTAAATTTCGAAGTAATCGCGCGAAGTGTACCTGTTTATTTGCTGCATAATCTGAGTGATATTCCTTGGAATCCCATGTTTTTGCTATATACAGCATCTCAGCTAATATTTCGTATGTAGCTCTTTTGCGATAGGATGTGGATTTTGTTAAATTCATTATCATAGCAGCTATGAACAAACCCGTCAGTATCCTCTTCTTCATAGATGATAAAAATGAATTCTCTCTAAAGCGGACAACATTTTAATAAATTAGTTAGTGCAGTGAAATCTAGGTAGGTAGTGAGAAGTAAATGCTGAAAACTGTTCAAAAGACAAAATTGGCTTCAAGATAGGCCTCGTGTGATCAATGCGTCCACTATAATTTAACCGGAGAAGATGTTTTAATTGATGGATAACTCATGATAAGAGCAGCCTCATGTGTTAACAGAGTTCAATCGACGACTTAAACAAAAGTTTCAGATAGCACGTCTTGCCAACACAAACAAAAATAACACATGGAAATCACATAATGGAGAGACTGAAACTGGAACTTGTTAAGTTGATCGATGTGAGATTCAGGACACTCAAAAAAAATTTTCTTTTGCCAAGAATATTTCCTAACCACAGCAAAATATATTTGGCAAAAGTAATTTTTTTCCTAGTCTATTCATTCTGACTACATTCTAATTATAACAAGAAGAAATGGAACTTATTGACTGATAAAAAATACGTAGCTTACCATGACATGACACATTGCATTTGTGGCCACAATTATATGTTAGATATATATATATATATATCACATATATAATAAGCTACGTATTTTTGATTATTTTATAGTAAACTTTGTAGATCCCTTTTAAACAATATCACTTTTTAGCGCGCTTCAATAATTTTTCCTCGTTTTCTCATTATTTTTTAATGTTCATTCAAGTGCTTCCCGCAACACAAATTTGATCCCAAATTTTAATGTATTTTAGGCTAAAAAGATAAAATTTAAACAAAAGATGACGTTCGATTGACGGTCCACCCGGGCGTTAAGCAAAATCTATTTATACTAGGTCTGTAATTCTTTGTAGGTATTGAGGCATGCGATTTAATTCAATGTGCCCTCGAACAACCCACTAACAACTCTGCTAAACTGACCAATATTTACGAGGAATTTAATAAATTTGATGAAGATGTTTCCAAAAAATTTTATTTTGATATTTGCAAAGGGAAGGTTCGGTTTAAGAAAAAATGTTACCTGATCGATCCCAATCTAGATTATTCCATAGAACTGTAGTTGTTGTAGTTCTAATAAGTTCTAATGAGAGTCTGATGGAGACATTGGGAAGAATGACATTTTTCATGCATATAGTTGTTCGAAAAAATAAATTTCACACATAATCCTATCGATTCATGTACAATTAAATCAATCTGACAGATCAATTTCATTTGAAAGGAAGGAAATGCAAATTTTCGCGAAGCGACATGTATGAATGCATAATGTCTATGTGTGCTTTCGATTTATAGAAAAAAGCAGTTCGCTGTCGACGGCGCGATTGATGCGTGAAAATAAATAGGATGTCAGCACGAATAACTGTTCTCTTTGATACACGCGGATTATTCTGCTCGATACCCGAAGACTATTCCTTTATTCGTTTTTGTGAGTACTTCCCAACCTAGGCAATGTAATAACTTCCTAATGCTCTAAAGTGATGCGATTCTTGATTTATGATGTATATGATATCAACCGAGTTCACTGAAGATACTGAATTAACTGAATCCTTACCCGCGTAGAAAAGTCTTATGAATATCTTTCAAAAATCATTGGAAGAATCTTTGAAAGATTCTTCTGAAGTTGTTCTTGGCGCCCCAAAAAGATTCTTCAGAATACGAAACGTTTTAGAGATAACTTCGGAAGATATTTGGAAGCAAAATTCGCAATATATTTGGAGACTCTTTTTTTTCAAGATCTTCAGCAGAATTGTTTTAAAAGATCTTTAAAAGACGATTTTTTTGTGAAGATCATTGCAAGACTACTTTTTTATGAATATTTGAAGATAATGTTGTTTGTTAAATCTTCAAAAGACGTTCTTTCAACATATTTTTCCCATCAAATTTTAACTGTAGCGGACGACTAGTAGTTGTTCAGCTAGTAGACGATCGCGCATTCAAGTCCCAGTTCGGTCGGTGTTTTTAAGTTTTTAGCCATAGTCCAGATGAAACTCAAATTCGTAATTTGGCAATGGGCGGCAGTCGTCAAGTTTCACCTAGGCTATTACCAAACACATCTAAAACCTATCCGAACTGGGACTCGAACCTACGACCGCTTACTAGCTAAACCACTACTGGGCGCCCATTGAAATTGAAATTTAAAGAGTAAAAAATGTTGGAAAAACGGCTTCTGAAAATTGAACAAAAAAAATTTGTCTCCAAAAGATCCTTAAAAAATTGTCTTGTAAAAATCTTTTAAAAATTGCTGCGTAAGATCTTCAAAAAAGAAATAGTTTCAAAAGATAGTCCGAATTTTTCTTCCGAATATCTTCCCAACTTATTTTGGAAAAATTTCGTCTGCTGAAAATGGTTTTTAGATACCCAAGAAGATCTTCAGCAGAATCTCTTAAAAATTCGTCCAAAGATTTTCAAAAGAAATACCAAAGACCCTTTTTTTCTCCCGCGGGTTGCTTCTGTTAGTAGTTCTTAGTCATGGTTGCCCTTTGAAGTCCAGTAAGAAGGGCCAGATAAGCGGAGGTGGATAGGAGGTTAATAGAGTATTAAACGATTATTGATTGATGATCAATTTGCGGAGTAATTAGTGTTCGGATTAATTTAATTCTGCGGTGAATCTATTACCTACCGGGTGAAAGGGGAGTTCAGACGAATAGGCAGGAGGATGAGATAAGTGTAATTTGACCCACGGCTCCCAAGATTATAGTTTCACCCATACATTTATAAGATTGAAGAATGGCCGGATAATGAATGAATTAATTAGTGTGTGACCTACCCAATGTCTTTAAATTTAACTACCAAGTTACCTTCAATATGTATTCCAAAACTTGTTTAAGCGCCAATCAATGTAGATGTTTGGTGAAAGCATTGCTCCCTCACAGCGCAACCAAAAATCAAATACACCAATTAAATTTGACTGCTCAGGTCTGAGTAGATTCTAGTTATCGCATGCGAAGGGAAGGCACCTTTATCTCTAGTCCGATGATACACCCTTCCTTCAATCTCCAATCCAAGCTTGTTCTAAGAAGGTATTATAACTTACATAGTTAATAGAGTCAAAATCGGATGATGATTGATTGACTACGCACATTCTACATAAATTCAGGGTCATAATGGTGTAGCATTGAATTGTTTTTCTGTGGTTCTCTGTGCACTTTTCTGTTTCATGGCTTTCTTCTTAATCTCATTCTGAGGGGTCCTTCCGATAGCAGGAAATTCATGTCCGGATGTTGATTGCAAATTAAGTTATAGAAAATGTATGGATAATATAAATCATTTCATGTTTGATACCATTTTTCAATACACATCGTATGTTGAAATTCGTCGCCCGATAATGGACTTCCATCTGAACCCAGCCCTTTACTCACAAACTCAATTCTGAGTGGCGCAGATATCCTCCTAATTCCTCTTTGAACTCTTCCGTTTTAATCTTGTTGCCGTTTCCGCATTGGTTTCTCTTTCAATGTAACATTTTGTAGGATTAAAAGAGAAAGTAATAACATTCGATTTAGTCTCAGAAAAATTGTTAGACAATCTAAAAAGAATATATTCGAACTATCCAGTGGGATAGCATCATCAATTGTCCATCATGTTTTTCATTCAATCTTAGATAGACTGATCTTTGAACTATCTCAACCACAATTTCAGTTCTCTGGATAGTCATGAAGTGTTCATTGCTAGCCAGTGCCAAATTCCATCAATTTTCAGTCGTTCTGATGTTATTCTTTCCCTCTGTAATATTATAGCATGTGCTCTAAATTTGTACTTTTCATCAATGGCCTTGCATGCATGAGGAATTACATCTGTGCTTTGAATCATTCTTCGCTGCGTATCCAACCATCTCACACCCCCTATGATTTTAGAAATATTCCACCTTCCTCACATGTGTCAAGCATCGCAATTAGTTGCAGTGATTACTGTAGACGGACAACTATCATTGTTAAATGCAAGGCGATATAGACACCAATGACTGTTGGCGATATAGACACCAATGACTGTTGCATTATCTCACCTGTGAAGATATTTTTCGGCCAATTCCATCTACGAAAAGGCCTCTCAAGTGGAAGTAATTCGGAGTAAACTTATTCTTCAACAGACTTTTTTAACCCATACCGCCGGCATCACCCGATTAAGGTAGACAGAATAGATATCACGCCATGACCGCTAATGCTTTCGACTAGCTGTTACCGCGTTGCCGTCACGAGCGAACCCCTCTAACTACTGAAGATGGAGGTGGAGGACGGATGAACAGGAGTGGCTTCCGGTCCAGATTCACACGTTTTCCCAGTTCGGAAATACTCTGGAAAAATAAGCTCGTCATCTCATGTTCTGATATGAATCATGAGATCTTGCACGAGAAGCAGACCAAACGCACCGGGCAGACCAAACAAGGTGCAGGGCTAGATTACTAATATAATTGTAGTCGTATGTCGTCCAGTATTAGAGCAGTCTTGCCGCCGCACCAATCGAGATTACGTTTTCGGTTGCTACAGACCAAAATCTCCTAGGGCCTTCTCCCTTCGGGTTGATCATCGTCGGTATGGCTACGGTGGAGAATCAACGCAATACGGTGGCGGAGACGTCAGATCTCTCAGCTGGCCGCTGGTCCCTAGATTAAATTGCCGAAACTTTTGAATTCGCCCCATTAGACAACTCTGCACGACGATCTCAATACTCTCCATGGAATACTGGGCGATCTCCAAATAAGCGACAATCTACTAATGTCACCATCGTTTTCGCCTGACTTTGATGACTCTGCCTGTCCTCTACTATCAGCAAAATAGTGTTGACTTCTATTAAGGGAATTTCTACCTATAACCAGAAAAATTTTACTACACTCCTTTTGTATTGGAGGCTTCCAGAAAAGCCTCAACTTCGAAGTGAATGCTAAGAAGTACTTTGATTTAATTACACCACAACGACGTTACAGAAATAGAACATTTTTCTCAGTGATTCATCAAGATTAGTCTTTTTTTTGGCAGAAATACAATTTCTATAGTTGTCTATTTCATTATTAACGGTTTAAGATTTGGGGCCACCAGCTAAATTGAAAAGTTCAGAATGAGGTATATATTGGTTTCTTCGTGTTCTAGCACAACTGAATATTTTTTTAAATAGACTATTATAAAATTACTTCTCATGGCTCCGTACAACCTGTAAAAATGACCCTGTAAAACAGAAAAACTCGAATGAAACATGGTAATGATAAAGAGGTAACAGACTGCATATTTTTTTCTGAATAGAATACATAACAATCACCTGCGTTGCACATCAAAACTTCCGCGAAGATATGAGAGAGAAAGACAGAGAGTTCAGGTCATTTTTTAAGGGAATAATTTAGGGGGAACCATCGTGCTCCAGGGGCACGGAGTCCCTGGCTTAATTAGAATTAGGAGATTTAGGGGAAAAGTTCGTGGCTGATGACCTTAATTGCCATGTGAAATGGGCTAAAAGTAGAGCCATCCGTTAATAAGATTAGGAAATGACGACTTCGAAACGAAATTTGACCTTGTAATTTAGAAGGAGCATGAAATTAGAACTACGTTTACGTTTATGCTTTTCGGTGGACGGTCGGGGAGGA